AGGAGCAGCATGTTCAACCTCTGGCCTAGTAAGGATAACCTCTCCTAGAACTCTCTGCATCTGGAACTGATAATCAAGACCCTGCCCAGCTGGTGCCTGACACGAAGAAAGCAGCTTTCCCACGCAGAAGCACCCACTAGGAGACAGACATCTGAAGAATCAGATCCCAGCAGAAGCACCCACTAGGAGACATCTGAAGAATCAGGTCTCGACCTTGGAATCTATGCAGGCATGGAGAAGATTAGTAAGATTTAAGACACAGGAATTCATGAAAATAAGGATTATTTCTTCCTCCAATGGGATGATCAGAAATTGGGCTAGATTCACAAATTTGCGAAAAGATCATTAGATAGTAATGAAAAGCCAATAAAAGCATCAAAACCTTAACATTTTTAGTTTTACAACATGCATAGTTCTGGTTAGAAGTTGAATTTCACCAAAGCTCAAATCCATAAAATTAGAGCATAGAAGAAATGATATAACACTATAACTTTATATTTGTACATTTTTATAATGTGCAAAATACATTCTCTGATCTTGCAAAAATTTTAAGTAGATACAATGAGTATTAAATGTCTCTATTTCAAATGGAAAAACTGAGGTTCAAAAAAGTTATCTGCTTCTGGTCTCTTTGGCCTCGGTGGCAGAAGCAAGATGACGAAAGGAACGTCATCCTTCGGAAAGCATATCAACAAGATGCACACGTTGTGCCGCCGCTGTGGCTCTAAGGCCTACCACCTTCAGAAGTCTACTTGTGGCAAATGTGGCTACCCTGCCAAGTGCAAGAGAAAGTATAACTGGAGTGCCAAGGCTAAGAGACGAAACACTACCCGGACTGGGCGGATGAGGCACCTAAAAATTGTCTACTGAAGATTCAGACATGGATTCCGTGAAGGGACAACCCCTAAACCCAAGAGGGCAGCTGTTGCAGCATCCAGTTCATCTTGAGGATTTCAATCTGTCATAAAATAAATGTTCTGGTTTCCAAAATTAAAAAAAAAGTTATCTGAATTACACTCAGTACAACTCTTGTCGCTAGAAATCAACAGGTCTGTTTGTTTTCTGGCTCTCCTCCAATCTTTGTATAAGAGCTCTACAAACTATATTGCTTATATACTTATAGTCATTGACACTGTTAACTGCTATCATAAAACTCTGTCAACAGGAGATTAACAAACAACTCAGTGACTACTGGGCCACTGTACTTTACACTACACTGTCAACTCCATGAATAACTAGCACCCATTAACAGTGAACTGTGAATTGATGAGCCCTAAAGAGATGCTGTGTAGCATGACGGTAAAGCCAGGCACAGGCCCCAGGTAGGATGTGCCATATATCCAAGATATTCATCCAGCTCTAACTATGTTCTTGGCTTCCAGGGACCTAACATACAGAAAGGAAATTGCAAAAACCACAAACCTAGCTCCTAACAAATAGCTGCACAGCTAAGATCCCATTGCCCATGAACTCCCATAACTACTTAGAACACTTACTTATACTCGAATGTATTTTCTGTTTCAATTGTTTACCAAGCTGTTTACTTAGGGAAGTGGATGTCTAAAGTTCTGCCAAACAGATATCTGAATTAGGTTTTCTAGTTCTTCCAAGCCTCAGACCCAAACAAGTCTGTCAATGAACACAGCTCTTCTGGTTCCTCTTGCTCTGCCACTCTCAGCTTGGTATTGTCATTCTCACACTCATTCCACCCTTGAATGAACCATTTTTCCCACCACCCAAAATACTTGGTTACGTTTAGCTTCAACCCTGTGGTTTGGATCTTTATCCTAATTTGACATTTCTTAGTCCAATTTGGCATCTCAGCCATTTAAATTTTTATTTTTCATCCCCTCTCCTCCTAAACATAGACCCCTGGCAGAAATAAAAATACGGTGATGAAAAATCTATTTTATGGGCTGGAGAGATGGCTCAGCAATTAAGAGCACCGACTGTTTTATACTTTTTCGAACCTGCTACTATTACAAAAAGAATAATAATAAATGATGCTGCACTCCATAAACTGTAAAGATCTGTATCAACAGATTACATTGCCAGGTTCTTTTCATTACCTTAACCTATAAACACATCTTCCCATGTATCTCCTGTACTCCTATCTCAGCCTGTTTCTTAGAAATACATTCTTTTTGGCTTTAGGATTTTGCTAAAGAATACTTTCCAGAAATTTCTGCATTTCCCAAAAGAAACCCTGATTGACCTCATTAAAAGAAAAAGGCATCAATAAATTTTACTCAATATTAGCAGACAACCTTGAGCTACCAACACACACACACACACACACACACACACACACTCTCATCCTCTGTGCAGGGAACTGAGTTTGTAGCTTTGGAGCCTGTCCTGGAACTTGCCCCATAGACCAGGCTGTCCTCAAACTCACAGAGATCCACCTGCCTCTGCCTCCCGAATGCTGGGATTAAAAACATGCACCACCACCACCGCCCAGCTTGAGTTTAAAATTGCTGATATTCTCCATGTTCTTCAGCTCACTTTCCCCCAAGAATACAATCTTAAAGATGATTCAAATTAATAAGCTTATCATAGTGTAGAAACTAATGGAATGAATTCACCAATGAATCTGTACATTTCTAAGCATGTGATATCTTGTCTTCCCACCAAGAAAAAAAAGCCCTTATATTGCTTATAAAGTTGTTTTGTCCAATACAACAGACACAAGCCACATATGGCTATTTAATTTAATTCAAACTAAACAAAGTAGAAAATCCATTTGCCCAACAGCTGTATGCAGTCAGTGACTACCATACAGGTTAACAAAGATGTGGAGCACCCTGTCCACAGAAACTTCACTGGCAGCACTTGGCAGAGGCTGCTGCTGAATACTGCTATTATGAGAATGGTCCCTACAAAGCAGAATTGGGGTCACACTAACATGCTTTGTCCACGAAATGAAGTTTGTTCTTCCAGCACAAGAAGCATGTTTAGAACACATTTAGGCGTCCACAGGTATCTGGGTCCTTACCCCAAACTCTTTCTCACTGAACCCTGCACATGAGCTTGTTGTTCATGTGGGGCTGTTTAGAAACGCTGAGCTACTGCTGCTGCGCATTTTCTTTAAAAATAAAAAAAAAATGAGATTAATAATTTGTGTCCTCCATGCAACAGAACAATATTTAATGTTTTTCAAGTAAATTGTGGAGCCTAAGAGCCAACAGCTCTTGTTACTATTACTTTCTAACAAATAATCCATTTCATAATCTTCATAACCACTGAAGCAGCAGCAGGCAGAGTTTTGTTTTTTTAAAAAAAAAAAAAAAAAAAACAAGACTCTTTTGTAAGAACTTTTTGAGCTCTACGCAGGATTCGAAACTCTTCGGGACTCCCCCTGCTCCTTTTCCTGGAGTGATTCCCTAGGGCCTTCTTTTCACCCGCTGACTGCTCTCCATACCAACAGTCCAGCTAGGAAAGATCAGCTAGCTGCAGCAGTGTTGGCGAGCACACTCCACATAGGAAGACAGGAAGGAAAGTGAGGTCATTAGACTCAAGCCATGGGGGAGGGGACTCACTTCTGGTAAAAATGTTCCTTCCCAACAAGGCTTTGAATACAAGTAAACTACAGCAAAGGGGAAGCCACACAATGAGACAAGACAGATTAATGTACTAAAAGTGTAAGAATGAGTCCTAATCTGTTATTTCACCCAGTTCTGATTAATAATCAAACACTAGAGGCAGCTTTCTAAACTAATCTATTATAACATGGAGCAAAACACTCCTCCTATCCCCCAAGGAACCTAGAATTCCTAAAGGCAGGAAATAATCTGGGAGGGTATATCTAGCAGATCATAGGCAGAAAAACGTTTTAAAGCCTTATACTTTCTTGTAACTCTCAACAATTGATAGACAAGATTAAATGAGAAGAGATTGCCTAATAAGAAGACACACAGGGAGAATGTCCTGGACAGACTTTCATCAAGCATATATGGTACTTGGGTACTACAATCATGACAAAGAGCACTAGACATCCACCAGACCATGTGGGACCCTATCCATACACTCTTCTCTGAAGGCATGGGATGATAAAAGATACCAGACATGAGATGATTTCAACATCACATAAATTTAAATGTTAACAAAAATAGGAAATATTTTTCTAAAGCAGCACATGACTCTCAATAAAAAGAGACTCTCAATACCCAAGCCAATAATGGGAAACAAATCGTTCAGCATTGCTCTTAAAATATGGTATATTGACACTTTAATTAATGAATTACCCTTCCTAATTATATTTTACATAACCAAATATGAAATTTTTTCCTGAATATATACTCTAAGGCAGTTGAAGACCTTACAAGTTACAGATCAAAAATTTGATCTGACAAATAATCAATAAAAAGCAAAATAATTACATGAATATAGACTTCATAAGAAAAGAAAGAATGCCAGCCAGGTGGTGGTGGCAGTGTACGCCTTAAATCCCAGTACTCAGGAGGCAGAGGCAGGCAGATTTTTGTGAGTTCAAGGCCAGCCTGGTTTACAGAGTGAGTTCCAGGACAGGCTCCAAAGCGATAGTGAAACCCTGTCTCGAAAAACAAAAGAGAGAGGGAGGGAGGGAGGGAGGGAGGGAGAGAGAGAGAGAGAGAGAGAGAGAGAGAGAGAGAGAATTATTCTTATTCTCCAGAGATGAGATGCTATGCCAAGACCCATACTTGGCTGCTACATATCATTCACTACTTAACATGAGTGTAAAATGGACCAACATTATTCAAGCTTAGTATTAGAGTAGCCTTAGCTTCTCATATATTCCTCATTTGAAAACCTCTCCTCATCCAGGTGGTAGTGGGGCACACATTTAATCCCTCGGGAGGCAGGGGCAGGTGGATCTCTGTAAATTCGAGGCCAGCCTGGTCTACAAAAGCTAGTTCAGGACAGGCTCCAAAGCCACAGAGAAACCCTGTCTCAAAAAAAAAAAAAAAAAGAAAACCTCTCCCTAGTAAGTTTGGTAAAGCTCTACCAGTCACACATACCTGCCTGTTTGGGTGACCCGTGTCCTTGTTCTTCATGGTCTCATATCCAGATACCCGGGGACGTCGGCTCATCTGAAGGGCCACCAGGTCCTTCATGATAGAGTCTAATGCCTCCTGTTCATCTGCATTGAAAGAAAGCATGTAGGCTAAGATACTTCAATAAAGCACTGTTTCCACCAATTACACTTCTAATATTGGAGGGTGTAAAAGGACACACCTGAGATGTAGTGGCACATGCCTATAATCCCCACACTTGAGCGGCAGAGGCAGAAGGATAACTACAAGAATGAGGCCAGTCAGGGCAATACAGCAAGACCATTTCAAAACACAACAACAAAACAAGACAGACCCTATAACTACAGTCACACAGTGATTAAGAAAAAGATAACTAAGGTCAGGCTATAGCAATATAAATTTTAATGTTTTCTTGACAGTCCTCCAGATTTCTGGCAATGCACTAGTTGGGACTGAGGGAGTAGTTTATTCAATGAGAGAGGAATTCAATCATGAAAAACTTGAAAAGTTGGAGTGAGAAACAGCACAGTACAATATAGACGGTTATTGAATGAAAATATAAATTCAGCAAGCTAATCCAGGGGCAGGGTTGGTCCTAGACCTACCTTTCCTTCTTTTTAAAGGCAGGGACTCACTATGTATGTAGCTCAGGCCAGAACATAACAGACATCTAGGTGGGATTTTTACAGTCAGCAACAACACCCAGACTTACTCTTAAAGCACTATGTGTGAAAGAGGACTTCTTAAAAGACCTCAGGTAGTTGCTTTGAAAACAACTGTTTTACAGGTCTAACCTTTATACACAGCTTCTAACTACCAATTTTACAGGCTAGTCAGCTTCAGATAGGGAAGTCAAAGGGTAGTTCTCCTGTTTTTCTTCCTTAACTGGCCAGAGCAATGTACTGTCTCTACCTTACTGGCTTTACTTTTAACCTCTTTCTCTTAAATACTGTGGAATACTAGAGTTTGCACTTTCTGAAGTCCAAACTGTCCAAAACCCAGAAAACAAACCAGCCTGACCCCAAGCTTTACAAAATTCTCCCAGAGATCTTTACCCATTCAAATAACATTTAAAGGCTGAAAATAATCTATCAGTTAATCTGGAAGAGAACATGTGGGTGAGTGTCACACTCCCCAAGTGACTCACTTGGGAACTTAGGGCACACCTTTAAAAAAAGCAAGTAAAAAAGCCTCCACCCAATGAGAGTGTCCATCTTCTGCCCTTCATTCTTGTCCCTTAAAAACATTAATACTCCATGGGAAGAAAGAATAGCATGAATCTGGCCTCTTGCCCAACTACACCTCTGAAGAAACATAGGAAAGGAAGTACCAAGATACTTATAAAGATATTTTTACTTATTTATTTTTATTTTATGTGCATTGGTGTTTTGCCTGAATGTATGTCTGTGTGAGGGTGTCAGATCCTGGAGTTATAAATAGTTGTGAGCTGCCAAGTGGGTGCTGGGAATTGAACCCAGGTCCTCTGGAAGAGCAGTCAGTGCTCTTAAATGCTGAGCCATGTCTCTGGCCCTATAAAGATACTTTTGACTGTCCAGAAAAGTAAAATTAAATTTAAAACTTGCAAGAAAAAAATAAGATTAGCTTCCTCTAAAATTCCACTTTAAAATATATACAAAAATTATTAGTCTACTACAATGGTCCAGGCCTTTTAACCCAAGCACTGAAGAGGCTAAAACAGGAAGTTCTTAACTTGGGAGACTAACCTGGACAACACAGCAAGACCCTTTCTCAAAAAACCAGGAGAAATGAGGATGTTTTACACATATACTTCTAACACTCAAGGATTAGAGACCTTCAATAAAATAATTTAGTAAAGGAGACAACTAATGAGTAAGTGGGTTCTTGTAAAGGACAAACATAAAATCAATCAACTATTTTATATTTTTCTAGCAATTTCTCTATGGCTTTTTAAAGAAAGACAACTTGGTGTAGAAATATAGCTCGGAGCAGCTGAAGAGAATTTACTTGTTTTATTGTTTTTAATCTAATAATCAAAATTTAAAAACAAAAACCGAGCCAGGCATAGTGTCATACACCTTTAATTACAGCACTAAGCAGCACAGCTTTGTGACTTTAAGGCCATACTGGTCTATATAGTTCTAGGCCATCAAGGGCTACATAGTAAGAACCTGTTTTATTAAAAAAAAAAAGAAAAAGAAAAAAAGAAAAAGGTATTTTTAAGGGCTGGAGAGATGGCTCAGTGGTTAAGAGCATTGCCCGCTCTTCCAAAGGTCCTGAGTTCAATTCCCAGCAACCACATGGTGGCTCACAACCATCTGAAATGGGGTCTGATGTCCTCTTCTGGCCTTCAGGCAGATACACAGACAGAATATTGTATACATAATAAAATAAATATTTTTAAAAAAAAAGAAGAACACTGGCTATTCCCTTTCTTGAAGAGGACCTGGATTTGATTCCCAGCATCTACAGACAGCTTACAACCATTTATAACTCCAGTTCCAGGGGAGCCAGTACCCTCTTCTGGCCTCCTCTAGGAGCAAGGCAAGTGGTGCACAGATATACATTCAAGCAAAACACCAATACACATAAAATAAAATAAATTTAAAAACAAACAAGAACAGAGGCTGGGGTATCCATGTGCAAGGCCCTAGATTCAATCAATCCCTACACACACACACGCACACGCACACGCACACGCACACGCACACACACGCCTCTAAAGCATAGTATCTAAACTATCTTAAAGGTGACAGACATAAGATAAGTAAGAGCAGGGCGATAGTGGCGCACGCCCTTAAATCCCAGCACTCGGGAGGCAGAGGCAGGCGGATCTCTGTGAGTTTGAGACCAGCCTGATCTACAGAGCTAGTTCCAGGACAGGCTCCAAAGCCACAGAGAAACCCTGTCCGGGGGAGGGGGGGGGATAAGTAAGATCAGCACTAATAAACCTTATCTTAGACGCATCCAGTAAAAGTACTGAGAGCCTAATATATGTATGGAGGTTTGAGAAGGTTGGGTTTTTTGTTTGTTTTGTTTTTGTGTAGAGGGGCTTGGTTTGGTTTTGGTTCAGTTTGGAGACAGAATAGCCCTATGTAGCCCTAACTGGCCTGAAACTTGCTATGTAGATCAGACTGGCCTCACAGAGGGGTCCAGTTGTCTCTACATCCCATGCCCAGCATGTATGAAGTTTTTACTATCAATGTTACCATGTGAAGAATTAAGAATCTCATGGTAAGGTGCTAGTATTTAGTGGTACAATGTATTTCGGTACTTGCCCAGTATGTATAAGGCCCTACTTTCAATCTCTAGGCGAGAGGGGAAGGGAATATTAAGATTTGCTATTGTAAGGGCTGGTTTATCAAGTTGACAAATTTTTCCTCCAGGAAGCTAACCAATTCTCAGTGTTATTTGGTGTTCTTTGTACTAACAACATTCTAGGAGAATGGTATGTCATTGCCCGAAATCTAGGACAGCTGACCTAAGCGAAGCATGGTTATAAACTGAATTTTATGAGGTCAAACATAAAACTAAAAGCAGTGAAGTGTACAACTGATATTTCCAACTACAGACACAGAGACAAGTGAGCTGACTGGCTCTTTTAGGCGCTGCACTCTAGACTGAGGACTAACTAAATCATGTGGGCTCCCATAGCAGCAACTCTTAAAATCGAGAGCTGTCTTAGAAAGCAGCAGTCAAGAATATGAACTTTGAGTCAGAAACATTTGAGTTTAAGGAATCTTTAAATAAATCATGTGTTTTCCTAAATCTCAATTTCCTCATTGTGCAAAATGGAGTAATAAAGCATCATTTTACAGAATTACTAAGATAAAAACACAGAGAGATGAAGAAAGAAGACAACTTAGAAATTACTTCTCATGGTACTTAGTAATGCTTTAAAAATGCTGGCTGTTATTGTCATCAATATGAAAAGGTCAGTGGAAAAAGACTGGAAGGGCTACTTAACCTACCCTATGATTTAATTTATTCCTGAATTTTATTAATCATTAATAACCATTTGCTCAATATCTATCATGCATTATTCATTAGAAAGATTTTTTAAAAAAAGAATTTATTTTTATATAAATGTTTTGCCTAAATGTATGTATATGCACCACATGTATGCATGCCTGGTGTCTACAGAGGCAAGAAGGAGGCAGTGGATTCCCTGAAACTGAAGTTATAGGTGGTTTTGAGCCAACATGTGGATGCTGGGACCTGAACCTTTTGCGAGAGCAGCCAGTGCTCTTAATGGCTGAGTCACACCTCACTTTAGAACATTAAAAGCAGCCAGGAGTGGTGAAGCCCAACTTTAATTCCAGCACTTGGGAGAAACAAGCAGGCACATCTCTGTGAGTTTGAGGTCAGTCAAATCTATATGGTGAGCTTCAGCTAAAATTACAGAGTGAAACCCTTATCTCAAGAAAAGGAGAAACTAAAAAAGAAAGAAAAGAAAAAAGAGCAAAAAAGAAAAAAAGAAAGTTTTAAAGTTAAAAAAAAATTCTTGGAGTAAAAGCGTAAACAATCTGGGAGTGGTGGCACCGTCTTTAATCCAAGCGATGGAAGACAGAGGAAGGTAGAACTTTTGAGTTTGTGAGGCCAGTTAAGTCTCCATAAACAATTCCAGGCCAGTCATGACTACATAGTCTGAGACATAGACCCTGCCTCAAAAGCAAACAAATAAATAAGTAAACTTTAAAAAAGAATAAACAAATACAATGTCATTTTTAAAAGCAGATTGAAGAAACAGACATGTTGACACACACCTATAATTTCATCATTCAAGATAGTACCTCAGGTATGAGGCCAAACTGGGATAGAGTGAGACCCTATCTCAAAAAAATAATAAAAATAAAACACAAACATATACACCACAAAAGGCCAAACCAGGTAAGATGGCATATGCCTCCAAATTCAGCCCTAGGGAAACTAAAGCAGGAGGATCACAGCAAGTTCAAGGCCAGATTGGCTTATATAGTAAGACCTGGACTTAAACAAACAAAGTAAGCTAGTATGGACAATATACAAACCAGTATACATAAATACAAATGTATGAAAGTATTTTTTGAAATGTGAGTAGCAAGAATTTATATATAGATATTTCACATAATCATTAACAGATTAGATT